CACTCAGCGTGCTTTGTTTATCAGCTCGCGCACATCAGCTATACAGGCGTTAATACTGAATGTTTAACGTTATATTAATTGCATACATATACTGCGTAGTAGACATCCTTAACTCCATTCTGCTGTCTGTTGTTGGTGTCTTTGTTTGAATATGGCGCTTATCACATGCTGTGTGGTATCGGCGTTTGGTATCGGGGCATTTTAACGAGTACGAGTACAGGAGACCAGTATCAGGCCCGATACCGATACCAGTATCGGTGCATCCCTAATAATAAATCATTTCTGAAGGATCATGTGACACTGAAGACTGGAGTAATGATGCTGAAAATTCAGCTTTGATCACAGGAATAAATTACATTTTAATGTATATTAAAATAGAAAAACTTTGTTTTACATCATAATAATATTTTACAATATTAAATTTTTTCCTGTATTTTTGATCAAATAAATGCAGCCTTTATGAGCATAAGAAACTCCTGTAAAAAACATTAAAAATCATTCTAATACCAAACTTTTGACCGGTAGTGTATATGTTTTGCAATTGTATACTGTATTTTGTTTATATGGAAAGACGTAAATAAAGTGAGAAGAAAAAAAAAAAAACAGTATTTGACTGTATAACCAAACACATAACTAGACTAATTCAATACCTTTTAATGGGGCATGGGATCATTTACAGTACACAAGCTTACTCACCGGGACGTTTCCGAGTGCCGTCCTCTTTCACTTTACTTCCTCTGTTATGGAACTCCGGACCGCGGAATTCATCTTTAGCTTCGTTAGCAACCGGTTCTGGCTTGACCACCACTGTGCCTGCGAATCGTGAAGCCAGGAGATTCAGTGCGCCTCTTAACCCACACGCTTCATCAGACTTTAAAACATCCTAACAGAGTGCTAACCTTGTGGCAGCTTGCTGATATCCAGACTGCTCTGCATGCTGTCATCTGTGCCGCGTTCACCTCCACTCTCGTTTGCACATTCCGATTCATCAACGGCAGTGTGCTTGGTCACAAATGAAGGTTTTCTTTCATTAACAACAGAGGGGGAAAGGGGTCAACAGGTTGTTCCAATAAACATGATCAAAATTATCCTCTCTTCTCAACATTCCATTCCCACGACAACCAACACTCCAAAGAACCGTGTGCAAAACTACAGCATCATCTCAATAGTTTCAAAAGAGCAATGCATACATAACTACAAGCAACCACAGCAGCTGAGAGAGAGAAATACAACACCAACATGTCTGGACGAAATGGCAGAATTTGCTTCACAGACTGTTTACTGAGCCGTTTAACTCTCAACACATCTCCATTTGGATTTTTATAAAACGGTACACATCAGTGCAACGAAGTCTATGACTCATGCTGTGTTGCTTTCAAATTCAGGAAGTCAGAAAAAAAAGTGCAATAGCAAAAACACTTAAGACTTGTGTGGAAATCCAAAACCTGTAAGATTAAGGTACGACAACACCTAAGGAGATGCACGCGCAATACAATTATGAAACATTCATAAAGCAATTGAATGCATAATGCAGAAACAAGGCAAAGTTCATACTGTGACAACAAAACCCATTTTGAAACAGTCTGCAGAGATAGTTGTGCAAAACTTTCTATGTTATCTTCCAAGCACTGGCCAACAGAATATTAAAAGGTCATAATTCTGTAATGTCAAATAGGGAATATCACACTTCTGATTTTGAATGGAACGCAGCATAAGACAAAATACAAGGCATATCGTTTAGTCCAGATATTTACTGAACAAGAGCCAGAGCTTCGACAACAACTTCAACCCAACTCACCTCTTTGAGCGTGAAGATGAGGGTTTGGTCATTTCTGAGGAGCAACCAGGCTGAAGAAATGAAAAAAAAAAAACATTTCATTTTCAGTGATAAAATATCCATATATTACCAGCTCAACCCGCAACATTAGTCTTATAGTAGTTTGGCATAAAAGGGCCTAAATCGAGCACAATGTCCACAGAAACATCATTTTAGCAAAAAAAATAAAATAAAAAACTGGTCCACCTACCTGAATATTTTAACCCAAATATAGAAATGATAATTATCGGTGTGATAAGCTTTCAGATTATGGAATAAAATGGATGTGCTGGGTATCAATTTAATCTCCTTGTCTTTTATAAACTTCCTGAAGAAGCTTTTGAAGCACCAGTCCAACAAACTGAAAATCAAAGCATGAACATGAGTCGGGTAATTGATGTTTTATTCATGCACTATATCATTCTCGCACTATGACAGAGAACGATGGCAAAAGCTGCTTTCTTATTTTCCCCGTAAAGCATGCTGCTAAATGGCAAGCTTTATCGTCATCCTTTAACAAATCTGCCTCAATCCTAATTGCGGTGCTCTTTATGTGCACTCATCTCAACGATAAAACTGGACCTTATCTGGGATTTGAGTGAGACTTTGCAAAAACTGCACAAGTACAATCAGAGTCAGACAAAAGCCTTGCATGTCATTTTAAAAGACTAACTATTGCTCTAGTCCATCTCAAATTGAACTTTGAAGTGCACATTCAAGTACAGAAGTACAGAAAAATGACCTTATGCTGTAACCGGATAGGACACAGTGTTATAGTAAACTGTAGAGATAAAAAGCAAAACCAGACTCTGTAGACAAACCTCATTCATTCTCTCATCAGGGCTGTTTAAGTCACTAGCAGCCATTTTACCTGTAATATGAGAAAAGCATACACATTTACAATTAAGAAAACATTGTATATTTGTCTAAAATACGTCAATTTATACATAGATACAACTTTTTAGCCTTATTTACTATATTTAGCCTTTGAAAAGCTGAATTTCCCAAGTAGGTATAACTGCAGACCGGAGATCTCCAAAATGGGGCGTGAACTCCAAAAGTGGGCAGAACCTCCAAAATGGGGCGGGCTCTCGTCGCGCAAAGACTTTCACCATTGGCTCTGGCTCCAGCCAATTGTTATTGACTTACATTTCAAAATAAAACTTTATAAATTAAACAGTTTCTAGCTCATCTAAAATAAAATATGCTATATAAGTAAATATTCTCCGTGAGAGCAGAGCCCAAAGCTCGTGGCCAGTGCTGTTCGGACTGGAGTTTGAACCTCTGCGTAATGATATAAACACAAATCACCCACAATTTTACTCTATCGCTTTGTTCTAAGCAACGGGGGCGTCCCGGGGCTCGAAATTCACAGGGTAGGAGGGGGTAGTGACACTGGGTGCAACTCGGAAGGCCAAATAAAGTGCTTTTGCTTTCGCACTGAAACACACAGCGTCTCCCTGACATGGCTGCATCAACACTAACTGCTGTTCCTGAAACCACGCCTTCTTTCTTTGCGTGCACATTTGGGCCGCATTATGCAAATATTCCCACATAGTGAGGTAGATATGTGGGGGCGTGTTAGAACGAGCCATTTTAGGGGGGCGTGGCAGAGTCTTAACTTTGATAAAGTATATCTCTTTGGTTTTGAGACTTTAGTCTTTGCAACTTCAGGGATCTTATCTATGCACAATCAGCTTGTAACACTCCAAAGAGAAAGGAAAACTTGAAATCGCATCATATGACCCCTTTAAGGGTTAGCATTTTTTGTAGCATAGTGTAGGAAATCAACACTTTAATTGACAAACCAATAAAATCTTTAGAATCAGCTGTGGGGCGGAGTTTGCACTGAAGTGGATTGGGGGGGAAACTGCGCAAGCGTGTCATGTGCCTGTCTGTCAATGGAAAGAAGCCACGCCCTATTTTAGAGTTCCCGCCCCCATTTGGAGATCTCCGGGCTGCAGTTATACCCTTCTCAAATGTCTGGGCCCAGTCTGTTGGGCTGACAGTAGGGATCCTCACCAGTGGAAATGTCTGGAGAATGAATGCTTTCTTCGTCTGGAGAATGACCCAAAAACTCATGAAGTTTGGTCACCAATGTATTCAACTTACTAGACCTGAAAGAAACGCAACATGCGGATACAGAGAGATCAACAACAAAACTGACCACAGATAGCGCTGCTATAGTTACTGTAAAGCCGACCTTAATATGGAAACTCAGTGTAAGAAGCTTTCAAAACATTTATTTTATTATTACACAAAAAAAGTCCACAAGAGTGGAGGCTAACACCAAGCTATTGTGCCAGACACTACGAGACGGTTTACTATGGTAAAATATATAGAGATACGTCGTAATACGACGATAACAAACAATACCTTATGAGTTATAAAACGCGTCCGCTGAAAACTCATCTCCGAAGTCGAGAGTGATGAGCAGAAAAGTAAAGTACAGAAAAACGTAATACGCGTGAAACGACGATCCAAACATGAACGGCGACTTCAAACGAAAGCCGTTATTAACGCGAGGACAGTAGCGTCACTTTCTTTCACGCGCCGCGGCGGCTGTTGATTGACAGGTGGCGTCACCACTGAGCCCGCCTCGCACGCAGCAGCCGGTACAAGACGGAAGACACGCACTGATAACGGCTGATATAAACAAACCCATCGGCTCGTGCCTGCCGCTTAAAGCAGCGAAACGCCACCAAACAAGACTAGAGGAGGGGAAACCAAGCAGGTCACTAACTTACAGACTGCTGTTCGTGACGTTCGGCTACTTGTTTGACAGATTGTTATCCACTGGTTTCCCTTCAGTGCTTAGGCTGATGTTGGAGGAGAACACCAGAGACGCAACAATTCTACTAATTCTAGGCTAAAACGCATATTTGAATGAGGTGCTAAACATTTGGTGGAGAAAGGCCTAGTTCTAGCATTTGACCAATGCATCTGCTGGAGACGCACGAAAGGGCGAATAACGCACTTCATTAGGATATCAATCCCCATAACATATGATTATGACGCCCCCTAACTATTTGCAGTACTAAAGCATGGATGTGGCGTGCACAGACGCATGCATTGCATTACCCGGCTAACGCTACATCCTTCACACCCACCTGAAGATCTCCGTGCTCAGCTCACGCGCGGGTCTTTGAGATGTCACCGGTTTGGCACCGCGAGGAACGCTGTTTTTTCATTCGATTCGGTACATTTGCATGCATGTAATGAAAGTAAATAGTGTTTTATTCCGATCAGGGCAGACAAAGCGAGAGCGCCATCTTGCCGGAGACGCGCTAAAATGGCGCGCGCGAGACTCGGTGCATCTGCGCGCGCGCTCTGAACGCGAACGCACGCACTGCGCGCAGTTCTCTTAAAACACCACCGTGTGCGTCCTCGCTGAATGCATTTTTAAAAAACACAGAAAGATCATAAATAATGCGCAGGAGAATGCATGCATGCATTTAATGCAAAGAAAGTGCAGCGTAGAAGGAGAAATTAGGGCATGAGTTACCGGCGCATGCTATTGTAAATGTGCAAAATCACGCCATGCATTTTATTTCTTATAATGTTATGTCACCACTGTGACTAGCATCCATGCCTTTGCATTCTGTTCTCCAAACATCACGATGCATGCTTTGCACTTCGGACACACTCGCGGTCGGATCATGCTACATAGACTGCATGCATGTGGAGGGGAGGATGCTGTTGCTGTTCTCCGGCGCATGCAGCCGCACTCTCGGTAGTGCACATACCTGCAGATGGCGGTGCTCATTTCGTCCCCTTTTAAACCTGCAACCTTCTGTAAAATATTATTTTTCTTTTTGGAGATTTCTTTTCTTTAGGCTAAGATTGCTTGATGATATTAATCAATGCTAGGATCCATGTTGCTATGGTGGAGCTCCATGCAGCTGATTGATTGGCTCGTTTTAGCTCTTAAGCGTTAACCAGGAAGAGAAACTCCCTTCTTTGCAGATGTATTGTTAATTTTATATCTTTAAAAAGGTCTCTGCTTTTCTATCTGAATTTCTCGATCACTAAACTGAGAAAAAGCCATGATCGTTTTGCAAAGTGCAAACAGTATGAATAAACTAAGAACAAAGCACATCAAGAGGAAATCGGGTAGAAAGAAATTATTTTATTTTGAAGCAAATAAAAACAATGACATTCATTTACAACTGACTGAGGAAAAAAGAGCTGCGTGATCACTGGAAGTTTAAACGAAAGCTCTTCTCTTGATCCTTGCTGCGGCTTTCACACAGCTTTGAGACCTCCTCCACTCGCCTGTGGAGTAAAACTGCACAGAAAAACTATATGATAAGTATACAAGCTAACATTTAATCAAGCGTTTAATGGACTGGCATTTTTTTTGTGTGTCAAAAGGATACCAACCAGAGTTTTGTTCCACCCATTGCAGGGAGTCCATATGTGCATTGAGGATTTTGCAGATCTGCTGAAGCTGAAAAACAACACCAGTCATTCTTAGTCCAGACCACACAACAATTCATAAAGAGCGTTTCTGTCTGGACCATCGATCGTATTTTGCATACCGGGTCAGTGGTGTCAGCAGGTCCGCTGGAGGTGTTGAGGTGTTCAATAATCTCTTTCAGATCATGGGACATTCTCTTGAGTTGCGCATCCACATTTTCTGCCAACTTGTACCTGGATAAAAGAGATCATTCAAATACTCAATAACATCACAGTATAGGAGGGAAACATGAGCTCCTTCAATGGCTGATAGAGTCCTGCCTGTTTTTGCTCTTACGTTCGTTCTCGCTCTTCGTCTGCGTTCTGCATGTAAATGGTCCCGCTTTGCTCTTTCACAGACTCCTCTAATGGACCAAGAAGATCCTCCAGCTCTTTCTGCTGGGACAGGATGAAGTCCAGTTCTTGATCCAACCTGTGTTACAAACACCAAAATATGAGAAAGTTTACATCAAACATGTTAGCAGACAGTATACAAGCATGCTTAGACTGTTTAGTTCATGCTGAAGTTACTTGACTGACTGGTCAATCGCTGAAGTCAAAATAATTTTGTATAATTAACACTAAACTATAACTGACAGATGCCACAGGCAACCAACATTTTCTGCTGTGCCAGTTTCTCTTATTACACTTTTAATTAAGGCTGCACAATAATGGTTAAACGGTTAATCACGGTATTTTGTAAAAAAAAAAAAATAAAAATCATGATTGTCATTTTTTCCCCCCACTTTCACATAAGCACAAACCAAGAGAATGTCAACACACATGGTTTGTTCTCAGATTTGTGACAGAAAACAGACCGCCTGTATTACACTTATATTTGAGCAGAATCTCAATAGAGATCGCTTAACTCCAGCTTACATGTTCGCCGGTGTTTTCACCTCATCACTGCTTTTTTTCCTTAACGTAGAGCGGGCGAGTGCACATGGTTGCCAGCTTGGAAAGATTAAGTAAACCACTGGCCAGAAAACATATCGATTTACGAAAAAAAAGCTCTGATTGGGGGATTTAAACTCTTGAAATCTGGCAAGTGCAACCATGAAAGCTTGTGGAGGCTTGTTACCAATGCAAGAAAACATAAATGCCACATTAAAATAACACGTTTCCAGGATAAACAACCAGCAAACAAATAATCGATTACCTTCGTTGGTCCAGTTTGACTTTTTCCATATCTTTATGTAAAGCAGTTATCTAAAAGAAGAAGAAAAAAAAAAGATTACTTGTCACTGGAAATCTGTTGCAATATGGTTTTAGGCAGTAACACTAGATTCAGGTTTTTAGATGGGCAAGTTAACTATGGGTGTCCTAAGGTGGTTTTGTGATTGAGAAAACAATCCAACCCAACAAACCAAGCTGTATAATCATAATTCACAATGGGAAATGTGTTATATAAAAAGCAGCAGTGTGTTTCTGTGGGTGAACACATCAGTATCACAGTTGAAATCCAAAAAGCACCTCTTCATCTTAAAACGTTGTGTACTTGCTCTTCTCAGAAACAGGTGCAATGCAAGAATGCTGTGCCAACAAAGCCTTGATTCACAATTCATACTGGGAATGTGTGCGTATATATATTTGTGGGGTTGCTGTAACTTTACCAGTGCAAAGATGGTGTATGTGGCAGCAGGGAGAAAACAGTGTACTAAAAGATGAGTGCAGGGCTCGCAAAATTTAAAAATCGCTGGTAGCCCTTCAGGCAGACATTCTTCAGATTTGGGTAGCCCAACATGAATTTAAGTAGCCCGAATAAAAAAAAAAGACATCGGCTGAGCTCCACTGAGGACAAATCAGCATGATTAAAAACTTCAGTGATCGCTTTTTTTCTTCAAATAACAAGTCAAGAGATGTCAAGAGGGGTGCAACGGATCACAAAACCCACGGCTCGGATCACATTGCATTATCATATCAGATTTTGAGTAACAGATCGGGTCGTTTTGCAGATGAGCAAAAAAAAATATGGTTATTATTTAAATAACAGAATACTTCTTTGATACCACAGCAAACACTAGTAGCATATAGGGATGTAACAATTCACTCAACTCACGATGCGATGCACGATACTGATTTCACAGTACAATTTACTCACAATTTTTCTTTTTAACAAAATGAGATTGAAGACGAATTATAAATGAAAAGGTGTCCTTTTATTATTTCTCCAACAAAATGCTGCACATTTCTTTGTGAAATTGAAATATGTCAAATAATAAAACTTGAAATTTTTAAACAAATCCCAAATAAAATAATTAAATACAAATAAAATAAATCTCTTCATATAAACAAACTAATGCTTTGGCTGTGCTCTTTCCATTTAAAATCAGAGGCAACCACTGCATTTTAATCACGATCTAAACAAAGATGCTAAATGCATGTTATTTAGATTGCAATTAGATTGTATAATTTCGAAATTTGAAGCAAAAACAGAACGGTCTGATTTTAGCTTTGTGAATGAGACGCAGATGTCACTCTCTGACAGCAGGTGGCGCTTATGGAACAGCTGGTTATTTATAGGCTGCTGCCCCTTTAAGGCCAAATGCACGGATCCAATATAATGATGCACTTGAGATTTCTTTCTCCACTCTTTACCTTCACTTAAGACATGTGAACGTAAACTTAAGTTAACTTAAGACATACCCGACTGTGTTTACGAGAATACTTGCCCAGAAAGTTATTTTGAGATAAGTTTGTGTGTATGTTCATTCAGATGCAAGGATACACAAAAGAGGAATCAATTCTGTGTACGCGCATCGTCTGAAGCGCGGCTCTCTGTGCGCGCTTTGAATAAGTGCGTGAATGAGAGCTCCGAATGCGTGAGTGGTTTAAAACACTTGAATGTTTAAATCGGCTAGACTTTGAAACACGTGCAAATTATCAACTACGATCCGTTTTACCCCAACAAGCTAGTGAACAATGCAAATCAAGGAAGGAATTTTATATCACGGTTCAAGATAGCCCGTCGGGCAGGACGGTGAAACATTTGGTAGCCCGACTGGAAAACACAATAGCCCCGGGACATCGGGCTAGCGATTTTGCGTGCCCTGGAGTGTATTTCTCTACCTTCTCTCCATTCTCCACCAGCATACGGTCCCAGGCATTGACCCGAGTGGCATTCTGAAGAAAGTGTCGCTCTTGGTCTTCTAGTTCTGAGCTCCACTTGTTAATCAAAGCCTCCAGCTGAGCGTAAGACATCACTGGAGCAGTGCTGACAGAAGACAACACAAGAATTTGAATATGCAACTCGACGCTAGAAAACACACAACGTCTTGAATGTGAAAAGCTTTGTACCTGGTTGTGACGATGGCAGTTGACGTGGAGGTGGTGATGGCTGGTGCAACAGATGCTACAGTCTTCAGTCCCAGAGAAAAGCCAGTAGTAGCTCCAGTGCTAACAGCAGCTACTAAAGACACAAACACGCACTCTCAAATAATACAAGTAACTTGATAGGAAAATTATATATTGGCCTCAATTATTTGTTCAGCATGTATTAATGAGCAAAGCCAGTGTGTGAGAATAAGTGAGGGCACCTGTGCTTATAGCAGGAGCGGCGGCTCCTAGAGGTTTCAGGGACAGGCTTGTGGGAGCGCTGGATGCTAAGCTCACCACAGGAGCCACCGAGGCCATCGAGGAGCCCACTAGCAGAGGAGAGAAAAGACCACGTGATGATTTCTCTAGAACAGTCCTAAATTATCGTTCAAATGAGAGCTCCCACACCTTTGTCCAATTAACTTCCTTTACTTGGCAATTAGTGCATATTTAAAACAAAAACAAAGAGAAAGAAAGAAAAAAAGCAACCACTTAAATGAAGAAAGAAATTTCCATGAGCTAAAACTTGATGGTTTGTTAGCTGTGTTTGCTCATTACAGTTAAGGTATGCTTTAGATTCCTTACTGTATGGATGGCAACACTTTCAGTCTTTTTTAAAAAATGTCAGCCGGATCTGTTTCCTTCGTTGTTGTGATTTGATCTGAACGGAAACAGCGTATCCGTGTGACGAGAGAGCTCTCAGATTCCATCAAAAATATCTTAATTTGTGTTCCGAAGATGAACGGAGGTCTTACAGGTTTGAAACGACATGAGGGCGAGTAATTAATGACAGGATTTTCATTTTTGGGTGAACTAACCCTTTAACAAAAAACAGCTAAAACCACTTGATTTAGAAAGAAACCGC